TATGCGAAGTGACACGAAGTTAGCTGCGTTACTCCGATTACTCGGCAGCACTGGCAGCAGGCCGAGCAGACGCGAACGCGAGGAATAACGAATTGTGCCGAACGGAGCCGAATTGTCGCTGCCGGCCGTGCCTGGCTGTGTCGACTGCCGACGAACGCCGAACCGACTCGAACCTGCGCGGCCGCGGCCGTTACGTACTGCGAAAATTACTTATGATTTTCGATAAAGTTTTCTTTTTCTTCTTCTTCTTTCTCTTAATTTCCGCTTTTTCACGTTATCATTAATTGCATCCTTCGCGTATCTTAATAGTTCGTCGAATTGAATGTTTCTTCTCTTCTAACCAGAAGAGATCAATTTATCTTGATCGAAAAATTTGAATTTGAGCTCCGTTCACGATTTTTCGCGCTTGAGTCGCACTTCACAAATTAATTATTCATCACAGAAAGTTCAAAGTTAACACATATATACACGATTCACTCGGAGATTATGATTGACATATTTCTGTTGACATATTTCTCAAGCACGAGAAGGAGCGTTCTTGTTGTTCGCGCCTTTTCAAATTTGAATCGCACAGGTCGCACTTAATATGTTAATTATTGTTAATACGTTCAATAATTCATTTAACATATATACGCGATTCATGTATGTCACTTAAAGATTATGGTTATCGACATGTTCCTCAAGCATAGGGTGAAGTACAGAAAAGAAATTCAAACAATGCGCTGACGAACGAAACGAAATAGGACAGAGTAAAAAGTACACACGACAAGCATGAACGTCGATCAGAGATTATCATGGCGTCGACGGTTACCTCTCGCGGCAGTTCTGCGAAGCTCTATGCGCAGGCGCGCTCATGCGGTTATCTGAAACTAAGTTTATTCTGAATATACTGACAGTAGGTCTATTGCTTGATATTTTATAATATTTTTGCATTTAAAAAGAGATGAATTACATAGGCCGACAAAATTTAGAAGGAGTTTTGAACTATGAAAGATGTTTCCATAGGATTTTGATGCGCTGAAAGCGACTACGTTGTTCGTTTTTTTTCTATTACCCTCTGTTTTTTAAATAATTGCAAAAACAGTTTTTTCCAGAAGTAACTTTTTTATTAAATTAAAAATTTTTCAATTTTTTCGGCTAAACAAAAAATGATATCGAAGTCAGTTTTGTGGTATTTAACTTAGAAATGTTTCAACAATACTAAAAATATTTTTCCGATGCTTATAAAAATGTTTTATACAAATCGCAAACAAAAAACTTTGGAAAAGTCGTAAAAAGCCAGAAAAAATTGACAAATTTTGAAATATAAAATCAAATAATTCGAAAGAAAAAAATCATTAAAAATATCTGATAATTTATAGCTGCATGTTTTTAATTTAAATTTTTTTTTGAAAAATTAATTTCCGACCATTTGTTCAGAAGTTATTGAATTTAAAGCGCCAAAGCAGCCCGCGCATCACCTACAGTGCGAGATATTCTCTCGTCTGACACATAATCATCGAATACAAGAGCATGTTGTGTAGTCTTTTTAATCTGATTTCAAATCTGAAATAAAAAATGTGCAATTCAAAATGTCGGATCCAATATGGAGGACAAGAATTTTTAAAAATCCGTACATAAAAATCAATATTTGGTACGATTTTATAAGTCTCAAGGTCTCAAGTCTAAAATATTTTTAATATTGTTAGAACATTTCTAAGCTAAATACCGCAGAACACTAACTTCGATATCATTGTTTAGTTAGAAAAAATTAATAAAAAAGTTACTTCTGGAAAAAACTGTTTTTGCAATTATTTAAAAAACGGAAAGTAATGGAAAAAACAGACAATATATAGTCGCTTTCAGTGCATCAAAATCCTAGGAAACATCTTTCAAAGTTCAAAGCACAAAATCCCCTCCCTCCTAAATTTTGTCGGCTTGTGTTATTTATTCGGAAGTTAGAGAAAGAGAAAGCGAATTTATATATATTAAGTTTAAAAAGTACAAATAATGCGACAGACCTATAATGTTGAAAATCCATAATTCTCACGTATGTTTAAATTTCAGTAATATTAGGAATTTCAGTAATTTTAAAACGCATTCCAACACGGTACAATTTCAAAAAATAAATTAATTAAATCGAAGAGCCTAAAAAATTCTATTATTTAATTCTATATTTTGATACTATTTTTACACTATTTTCTTTCTTATATTCCGACACATTGATTGCTTTGAATATCTCTCGTGCTTTTATTTTATGAGTATAATATAATTTTAATTAAGAAATCAATATATTATGGACTCAAAAATTTAAAAACAAAATAATTAAAAAGGATTATGAGCCAAACAGAATTGTCGTGTTATAAATTTAACAATAAAATATAATCTTCATATTAAAATTACAAACTTTTTGACTTACATCGAGTCATTTTCAATGTACGTATATCAAATAGGTCATGGTAAATCTCAGATTTTCGTGACTAATATCAATGAGCTCTATGTATTAATTTTAATGTGTTCTCTCCTCAATTGACTCATAGTTATTTAATGTCTGAGGAGGAAACAAGCATACTATCATTAACAAAGAAATAAATCGCAATTTAACAGATACATGTAAAAAAAAAACAATTTTAATTGTTTTCCACAATGTTGGTTGACATTTTGTCTTGCTCTTACTGAAATACAATAACATTCTGAACGCAATCACGTTTTTCCCAATTCACATTAATTACCGACACACATTCCACAAGTACCACTGATTCGGCGTTTTTTTCCATGAAACGCAGACAATTGCATGATAATCGTAAGAGGTGTGATGTAATCACATCGACGTAACATCGTCGATTTAAGCGGACATGATTACATCATGATAAAAAGCGAATGTAAAATTCGCCAACTAACAATAAAATAACACGACAACAATAAAAGTGGGCGAGCCATCACGTAATAAAGGAAATTCCTCTGTGTGAGATGCATTTAGGCGTCGAAAATTGAATCTAGAATGTCAAAGAATTAAATAAGAAAATTGCTTTCACGCAGAAGCTCATCTTAATGTTAATTAAATGAAAAGCAATTATATGAAGCGGTGCATCATCGCGTCATTTCCGTTCTTTAGTAATCTTTGCGGGCAATCGCACAGAACATCATAACATAAAGCGTAATAAAATCGCTTAGTATAGCTTTGTAATCATCTTTTCTAATTTCTCCGCAAACAGACAAATAAGCCTAGCTTTACATTTATTATAAAGCTTATATTATATATTAATCTGACATTATCGTATGTCAAACAGATAATAAAAGAGGAATCGATCGCCGTCTGATCTCAAGTTAGCTTATTTTATATTCAAATTTCAATATTACGATTAATGATAAAATCGACATTCGAGAATAATTGTTAATTAGTAATGATTGTGACAATTTTCTGCACTAATCACAATTAATTGCTGCTTGTATCAATTCTATTAATTACAGAAATATATTAACGTCGCGTTGTGATTATAATAAGAATAATAATAAGAATTGCCATTTATTGTATCTAGCTCATTCGTATCATAAATTTAAGTTAATAAGGATACATATAGCATAAAAATACATTTAGTATATTCAGATGTACCGAAAAAAGCAGTGTGATGTTAGTTTATTTTTTTTTATATAAAATTTCATGTCAGCAGTACGACAAAGTGAACTAAATATTAGAATATACAATCATTTATTTGCAAAAAATGATTTCTCTTATTTGAGATATTTATAATTCATTAGTTCAAACTAGGAACTTTTAAACATAAATTGAAAGTTTTTAAATAAATAATTTACTATTTAGATTCTAAAACAAATCTGAATTCTAAAAGGAATTAGGAAGTTAATATCATTGTGTTTATGCATTAGTATTAATATTGTTCTTGTGCTAATAACGATGTTTACGCTTTAAGGTCAAAAGTCGCGCTATCATTTATATCATATGTACTACAAAATCCAAAGCACACGAGGCGTTTCTCATGATTGTGGCAGCATAGATTCTTATCAATGCGATGATCGCAGGCTGCGAATAGGTTAATTAAAGCTTCATTCAGGATATGATTAATCAGATGTATAAGAGATGAATGAGAAATCTGCAAGTATGAAGGCCAAAGCTATGCAATTAAAACTAGTATACATGTATATTTTAATGTTATATCTGCCTTGATGCATTTTCTTTTCTTGATACATTGCATACTCAAGGCTGAATCTATAGTAAACTATCCAGATGAGAAGAATGTTAATTATAAAATTAATTTAAAGAATAGTAATTATACTATAAAATTTAATTTAAAAAGAATGTTTATTATATTAAAAGATAACGTAATAGCTGCAACTAATAGTTCCCAGCAAACGAGAATGAATTGAAATGAATTGGATTCAGATTTTCAGAAATATTAATTCACGAATGTTAAAATGAATGCTTTTCAATCCTGAATGCATTTTTATTCATTTATAGGAATTGCATGGAGCATATCTCTATACCTCTCAATCTAAAAATAATATTAGCTTTTTCTGTGCATTGTAAATATTGTTCAATTCAAAATTTTGAATAGGAAATGCAATTTTTTAATCCAATTACATCCAATTGAATCTAATTGAATCTAATTGAATCCAATTGAATTCAATTAAAGTATTCGCTATTTAAAATACGCATTCGGATAGAAAAAAGTTTCAATCCATTTTAATCCATTCTTATTTGCTGAGTTATAATGGATTCTTTAATTAATATAATTGATTCCTGGTTTTCGTTCCTCACTAGATCTAATGTATAAATGAATTATATTAAAAACAAAACTTTACAACAGTTGCAAACTATTTTACTAAACGTAGCCATTATAATTTTATAATTTAAAAACTCAAATTTTTACGCGCGGTCGACACAGTAAAGCATCGTGAAGATAGCTGCGCAATAGATCCCGTTCAGTCCGCAGTGTCCGCACCTGGCGCGTCGGTCGCACCGCACCGCGCACAGCGGTCGGCGCTGATCGCATTGCGCAGCGACACGTACGTAGCGGTTGTTCGAGTTCGAAGGCGCGGCGCGCGCCGCGATACGTTAGGAACGTACAGTGTACAGTCGCAGTCGTCGCGAAGCAAGGTAGCAAGGAACGTGGTGAATGTTCGACTGCCGACGTAATTGGATATTGGACGTGACTCCCGGTTCTCGGAGTGCAGACGTGCGGACTGTGCGAAGTCGAGCGGGCGCGAAGATTGCGAGCTGCGAGCGAGGCGGTTGACGACCAGTGCGCGAGAGACGGCCGCGTGATGCGAACGTTTTTTTCGTAGCGCATCGCGCCTCGCGAAAGCGTCGTCGTGATCGTCGTTGCGAAGAATTAGACGAGTGCAACGGCAGGAACAGCGAGTTGGCAAGCGCTAGGATTTCGCCTTGCCAGTAGTAGAAAAAAGTCTAGGAAATCACAAAATGTGGAGCCCGACACACGTTCAAGTGACAGGTAAGCATGCGATATCGCGACGACGGCCGTCATAACTACGGCATCTCGTCCCTTCCTCTCCTCTCTTTTCGACAGGTGGTCGAATGCGCGGGACGCGCCGCAGAGGAATGCGTGCCGTAACTCGATTGTTACATAGTGTATATATATATATATATATA